ATTTAGAGCTACAAGCTCGGCCGTCTGACAGAGACAACTCCATGATTTCCCTCTGGGTTCAGCCGTGGAGGATTCACCCGCTTTGCATGGCCACTTCGACATCAACATAGTCGCCCACTCTTTGAGCCATCCCTCCCACCTGCTGCGGTAAATCCTCAAAAACCTTGAATCAAAGCCGTGTTGTAGGAACCAGCATGTTGCCGTCGAATCGATGCACCTTTTTCAGCTGTTTTCTGCAGTGAATAACCTGCGCCTCATCTATCAGCGCAATTTCAGGCTGAAACAATCAACGCCAACCTCCTGATCCTCACATGCTGTGATTATAAACTTGCGTTACCCTCCACTGATTCGAGCACAACCGCGCTGCCAGTCATGAGGTCATCCAAAAAACGCCGAGGACGTGGCAGGAAGGACGAACGGTTGCTATTTAGATGTCTGTGGCGGCAGCATCCAAGTGGTGAATACATTTTTCTTCATCCACTGGGGACGAGGAGGCTAATGGAGCATGAGAGCAGCAGTTCCCCCGGAGTTGTGTAGCTGAGTCACGCCCCCGTTTGGAGAGGAGCCGCGGGCTGCGGTTGTGTGTGACCATGACCGAGAGGGCATTGCTGCAAGAGTCTGGGCCAATTCAAGGGTAAACATCGGGGCCAGTAATTGGAGAACAACACAGCAGGGGGTTTCATACATTTATGATAACATGTGGCTCAGTCGAGAAAATCATGACTCCAGACTTGCTGGATGAAAGGAGTGATGCTGTGTCTGCTAAAGGTCTCTCTACTGCCCACGTGAGATTTGTCGAGCTCCCCATGATACCATGTCCAAATATGTTTTATAGGTCAAAGTTTCATGGATGAAATAAGTCCACTCTGCAGCTGAAAATTGGGATGGAGTGAAATCAAGAACAGGGGGTTGTAGATTGGTCAGTTTTCTTCCTGATTGGGTGATTTCGGTCAAATTAGAGTCAGCTCCATCCACAGCTTTGGGGCTGGAAACCATCGCCTGTATCCGGAAAAGGTGGTTGTGCTTCTGAACAGACAGATAAAGAGCTTGTTTGCTGCTTACACCAATCTGTTGCTTTCCATTTAGCAGGGGCTCCAGTCAGTCAATACCATTAGGTATCCATTACATGTGTTAAAGGAAGTCCATTTCTATCCGTCCATCTACCTTTGCTTTCTCTCGTCTGTGTTACTTCTTTGTCTTCGGGTCGTAGAGGAAGTGATGGTCACAGTTTCAGGTTGTGGCTCCCTCACAGAGATGTATCCACTTTATATTTTAGCCGCAGTTTGTGCAAAATAACGTTAAAACCTCACAAAATGACACACGAGTAAACGCTGAATTCTGCAGGCACAAAAACCTGCTAAAGCAACATAGGTTTCATTTGTGCTTTCGGTATGATAACATCAGAAAATGTAGATGTGGACACACACACACACACACACACACACACACACAGACACCTGTTTGGAGCGTTCCTGAACTTGTGAGGAAGTAGAAGGTGAGCAGTGGGAGTGACAGCCTGTGGCTCTGCTGAGGTCTCTTATCAGTGTCTGCTTCTTATCACTCAGCACCACAACAGCACAAACATACAGACTGGTTTGGCTGCACGACATGAAACAAAATTATCTCCATCAGTGTTGCATGACATTTAGCCATACTAGTTTTTTCTTTAAATCACAGGTAAAGTTTTGCATTAATGGCATGGAGTAAAACTGAGGGAAATGAGCGTGACGTGATGCACGTATGTAAAGATATTTTCACACACAGCATTAAAAAGGTCAGGATGTTTTTTAGACTCGTTTTTGTTCAGGAGAAAAACCTCCCAATTCGAGTTATTTTCCAGCCAACACCGAAAAAAAAGATGATTTGAAAAGAAACTATTTTCTGTGCATTTTCTCTCCGTCTGTGAGATGTGACAGTGGAAACTCAGTCCCCAAAACAAAACCATTATCATACTGTCATACTGTATTTAGACATCACTTTTGTGCTGCCAATTTCCCGCTCAGCACTGACACCCCTGTGGTCATAATTGGATGTGTTGCACGAACAGTGCCAAAGCCAACGTGCTCACCAAACAGAACTTGGATATTGGACATGTCAGCAGAGCTCAGAGTTGAGTCTAATGAAAATATTTTTCAGCACTCTGCCATCTTTCCTGGTGAGGCTCATTTCACATCAGCCCGCCGACATGATTCAACCTCCAGTATGGTGTTTAGTTAAAACTGAACAAACAACGTAGTTAGGACTCAGAGAGGTGAATTCTGACTATTAATTTCACACAACAAATGCACATAATGTACATATTTTTAAGGCTTAAATTAGGGCCTGGGTGACAAAACAATAACAATGTATATCGAAAAATTAATTTCCCTCAATATCTTTATAAAACATGGTCAATATGCTTTTCATTAGTCGGCATTCTGCTATGTTTTGGTAGACTATACGAATAGCAAATGCAAAGAGGAGTTGCTCTGGGTCCGCTTCGCGCTGAACCAATCATGTGCTGAATTAGAACCAAGTAACAAACAGCTGCGTAGTATCAGACTGCAGCTACATGCAACCATAGCACTTAAACACGTGAAGCCGACAACACTGGCACCAAAACGTCGGTGGTGTTGTGGAGGTATTTTAGTTTTTTAAGGTCGGACATGAAACAGAGTAATGTGTACTGCAAATAATGTCGAGTACATGTTCACATCAAGTCGGGGAATACCTCAAATCTTTTTCACCACCTGAAGCAGTGCCACGCCATGGAGCCCGCACAGTGCAAAAGGTTACTCACCCCGATGGTGATACATGGACACAGAGGAAAGAGGTATGAAGGTGCAAGATATCATCAGCATCAGCATTGGCAGATAATAGCACATAAAGGTATTTATCAGTAATGGTACTTTTGAAAATAATGAATGGTACATATTTGACAGTATGAATTAATTTGCAGACATATTACCGGATGACTATATTTGGTTAAAACAAGATGTATATTTATCAGTATCAGTATCAACAGCCAAATTTAGAATAAATAATATTGAATAATACCAGTCCTACATGTGTCTGTAATGTCAGCTATGACTTGTAATATCCTCTTAATGAATATTCAGTACCCTTCATTACAGATGATGTGATGATTACTGTATCATAATGGCCTAATTTATGTGTTAATGTGGCCCTAACCTGTTTTCAAAAACAGCATCCTGAACTCGACCCTGGTTCACGGCCTGAAATAAGAGGTAAAGTTTCCAGAACTTGGATTTTCTTCTATCAGCAGGGGGCGACAAATCTGAATAAATATCTCGGCAACTGTTAACAGGGACGTGTCCTTTGGTTTTTTCACTGGAGTGGATAGACAAGGGCGCTGATTGATAGAGGAGTGGCACAAAACAAATTAATGGTATTTGTGCACCACAGCAGTTATAATTAGATGTTAATCTTGTGCATAATATTCTAACTCCAAACCAAAACACTGCCAATAAACGTACTGCACTTTTACGATATGAAATACCAACAAAAATCAGTTAAACTACAACAGTATCTTTTTAACAACACAGTCCAAATGGTTGATTTCACGTAAGTACCGGCTATGACAAGGTAAAAAGCCATCATTTAAGATTATGAGTAGACATCAGAAGTGGCCAATTATATTTCAAAGGGGGCCCACAACAGCCCTGACCCCCCTCTGGACACGCCCTTGGCCATTAACTGCAAACGCCTCGCTTGGAGCTGAGAATTCAGGATGTGCAGGCAACCTGTGCCCCTCCAGTTCCACCCTCTTGCCCAAATGATGTGTTCAGGGTCCAAGTGGTGCCAAAACACCAGAATCAGGCTCTTTTTAAGTGTTATAACTTCAACCATTGCTGTAAAATTTGAGCAGCAGAAAGCTGTCAAACCCAGACAGATGCCAGGCTTAGAGATAACAGGAGTAAATCACATCCACAACTACAAACATACACATGCAAACACACAACTCGACAACTCCACATCACAGCAGCAGAGAGTCAGAAATGTGAGGCTGGCAGAACTTCACAGGTTACATCTGATGGTTTTCTGTCAGCTCCTGTGTATGCATGTGAAGGATGACTCTGAATAAGAACATTTAATACATAAAGACTGTCTTGTCTCCTGCAGGGACAACACCGAGCTGATAAATGGCTTCTGTGCATTTTATTATTTAACTTGTCAACAATAAGCTTTTTTACTACTGTCATGAATTTTACATGAATTTCTCGTCATTTATTACAGCTGTAAATTAGCCGTGAAACACTTGTCGCTGAAAACTTCCTCATCTTGTGTCCTACTTCTCTTAACAATTATCATCTCCTGACTCCCACAGGAAAAGAGGAGTGAAATGTCTCATTTACACTTTTAGAGATTTTGTCGCATACAGCATATCCGCCATTATTGATGTAGAATGACGTGAAGTCTGTTGCCCTGGAGGGAACCTGCACAGACTTCATTTGAAGGTACTTATAATTAGTCTTAGTAATTAAAGGCAGATTATTGGATGCAGAAAAGGCCGGAAGCTAAATTGATACGGTCATAAACATCTGAATTATCGCTGGTCAGATTTAAGAAACCGTCACATTTTTTAGCCAGTCAGGTGGGACGACAGTCTGAAGAGTTGAACTTCAGAGACACCCTCGTTAATTAGAGGAGAGGACAGGATGGGGGTTGTATAATGGGGACAGAGAAAACTAGGTGTGAAGTTTGAATCTACATTTCTCTCCTATTTTTGCCTGACCATATGCTTCAAAGAGTGCTCCAGAGCAGGTTCCTAGGATATCATTCACCCCAAGGCTAATGCTGTTAAATGTATCCCCCAGCTGTGAGCTCATTTGCAGTGCCAGGTTAAAGACACTCACTCGCCTTTGAATGATGGCGACAGTTTATAGTTTAATGAGGTGAAGAAACCTTTTTAGGTCAACAGAGAAAAAAGTAATTCAACATTTCTAGTCAGGTAGAGGGATGGATATCAAGCTCTTGAGAAATCAGGAAAATATCATTTATAGCACATTGAGCAGCTTTACTACATCTTATGAATTGCAATGGTATAAGAGAGGATATGAAAACGCTGGAATCAAAGTCAACACAATGACAGAAGTGGATTTACAAAGTGGAAATGTTCAGTCTTGATAAATGAAGCTCAAAAGTGTAGTTCCCCAGGAGCCCACTCGAGGCTGGCTGCACAAGAACCGAAAACAACAAACATATTAGCCAGAAAAGTCACATTTTTTAACACATTTACAGCCCATTTTAAGAAAACGATTTTGGATTAGCAAAATACAGTTCTTAGAGACTCAACTATAGCACTACCAGATCTAGTTAACACTTTAAAGTCATTATTTGTTCAAATTAGAGCTGGGCGATAAAACAATAACGAAATATATCGTAACTTAATTTCCCTCCATATCAATATAAAACATGGTCAATATGTTTCTCAATGGCCATCTTTTTGTAGACTATACGAATAGCCAATGAAAAGGGGAGTTGTTCCGGGTACGCTTCGCGCTGAACTAATCATGCGCTAAATTATAACCAAGTAGCGAACAACTGCTTAGTAGCAGGCAGCAGCTACACGCAACCATAGCACTCTAACACGTGAAGCTGACAGCACTGTCGGTGAGAAAAAACAAAAACAAGTGCTACCCCCAGCAGAAAGCCGAATGAAGGCTCAACAGATGACGACATTGTCGACGATACTGGCACGAAAACGGTGAAAACGTCACAGATGCAGTAGCTTATTGCATTGAAAAGGACATGCTACCAATAAGCACTCTTAAATATCATTTCTTTAATATCTTGATATCGATATTGACCGATATGAAAAAAAAAATTTGTGCTAAACTGTTGCCCATATCGCCCAGCCCTAGTTCCAATGTTATTCAAACACTGCAAAGAAATCCTGCTAGCTAGCAGCTGCCTTCCAGCTGTAGCTTACATTAACCTAAAGACCACAGCACAGGAGAGAAGAAGCTAACTTTTAGCTAGCAAAGCCACAAATCTGTTACAGGTACTCCTCATCAGTATTCTTATTTTCCTCCACAGTTTACCGTTGTTCTCATGTTAAACAAATGACTGTTTTAGTAGTAGACAATACTGCTTCTCAATTCACAACTAGCTTTATTATGAGAAAGATTTGAGTGAAAAAGATTTGCGTTTAATGTGTGGCTTTGTTAAAGTTTGCTCCACTTTTAAGCGGAAGGAGAGGAGACAGAGAAAAAACAGATGGCATAGAAAAAAAGATGAAGTGTTAGGAAAGACAGATTTTAAGGTGAGGGGCTAAAACAACTCACAGTGTGGCTCTATCTTTGGACCTTCAGGTTGAATGTCACCTTGTCCTCCTCTCATGGTAGAGCTGCTTCCATGGAAAACAAGTCCCGGTTCGGATTTTACAGGCAGCTCTTTTCTCTCTTGGATCAATGGAGCTCCCGGTGGATTATTAACAGTTTTCGACCCCATGAAGTTGCTTGGTTCGCCGCCATTTTGCCGGTTTTGAACACCTGACGCTGTGGCGTTTAACGCGCCATTTTCAACAAAGATTGTAAGTATACGAGAGGCTTCACTCCTCACAAATTCAGCTCCGGAAAAAAACGATCGTTTGTAAGCACAACGAGAAAACTCCTGCGAGGACGTCACCAACGGTTTAATCATAGAAATACATATAAACGCTAGACGGCTTACGCACGCTGTTAGCCAATGGAGACCGGCGTCCGCGCGTGGCGGCCATTTTGCTACGGGACGCTCGCCCACTCATAACATTACAGTCTTCGGTGCATGTAGCGTTTAAATAACCATAGCTTGATTCATTTCAAACCAGTTTTCGAACGGTTTGGTTTGTAACAAACCTCAGAGTTTTAGTTATGTTCCTGCATACTCAAGAATAATTCTAATTCGTGTAAAGACGCTGGTGACTTTGCCTGGAGTCATCTAGCCTTTCATATCTATGGTTAATTACCTCGGAATTTGTTGAGCTCATATTGCCATCATTTTTTTGTGGAACAAATCAATCAATCAATCAGTGCACTTATACATGTAATGAGGTCTAGAATCATCTGTTGTGTTTTACTGAGAATTGACAGATATGTGCGCTTACTTCAGCAATTCAGGTCAGTTGTCACCATCACTATTATACTGACAGACCATGGCACAAATACAATATCATTAAAATTATTAAGACACTGTAAACGAACTTGATCGGAGTACTCTGAGAAATATAATAAAATTTAATTGAATTTGACTGTTTTGTCCTAAATACATAGTTTCTTGTTCCCCCATCCTGAAAGTTCAAATTCATCTAGACTCTGAGCTCATCTTTGAGTTGGCACAAATTTGAATTTCCATTTCACATTTCCTCAGCACTCTGCAGTTTATTTATAGGTCTGAGCAGGGCAGACCTCTGTATAATAAACACAACTTGTGACACAGTTTCCTAGGTCTCTGCAAATTCAGCTGCAGCACATTTTTCTTTATGTCGCCTCTCTGGTCTGGCCTTATTAATATGTTTTCCCAGGTATAATAAACCAGATGGAAATCCCATCGAAAATGGGGCCAATCTTTAAGAGGAATAGCAATAAAGGAGGAAATCTCTGAGAATTGGGAGAGATTTATAAGCAGCTCTGCAGCCCATATAAGGATGTTCCCACCTCGGTGTGTTGATAGAAGCAGGCGAACCTTCAATATAAGATTGAAGCTGGTGATGCTTTCATTAGTTCTGCTGACTGCTGACAGCTTTTAATGCCTTGAATATTAATCAATTTTTTGTCTGCTATCTACAGCTGTCCAGTCACATTTCAGAACATTAAATTAGAGTTAAATGACATGGTGCTGCATGAATCATTAACCCGTAGCCTCTGAATTGCTCGACTCTGCACTACAGAAAATGGACAAGCTGTAATTATACCCATTTTGAGCTGCTGGGTTGCGTAAGAGCTCAAACTGAGCCTTCAGGAAAATTTTGAACATAGGAGACTTCCATGTTCTCTTAAAAATCTAGTTACTCTGAAGCTTCAAAGAGAAATCTCTTTCAGAGGTGGGATGTTTTTAATAAGTAAAGAGGGAGTCCGAATTTCAGATGAAGCAATTATCAGTCTGCATACCAGCATGTCAAATGTAAGAAGTGGAGTGTGTAAAAGGATATTTTAGTACTTTTAAGTGGGGTCACAAGTGAGTGTAGCTACAATGGATGTTGGTCAGTTCTGCCTCTTATATCATACATCAGTAACTAAGATAACTTAGATGAGTTTTTCTTAAAGAACAAAGTTAGAGGAATATTTAAAGTCATTAAATTAGTCAATGATTAGCAGCATAATACTGTTTTGAAGTAGGAAACTACACATCTCAGCTTTTTGCTCAGTCTTTCAGAGTCTGATGTGGTCAGCTTAACAAATTCAGAAGCTTTAGCCATTTATATCTATCTCTTTATTTTACATACCTGCTAACCCTGTCCTTATGATGCTGCACAACCTAATTTACCCTCTGGAGATCAGAATAGCAATATCTTAACTCATCCTAAGTACCTGGAATGAAAATCCTTAAGCCAAATCACCAATGGTCTGAGTCAGTGGCAGTAAGTCAGATTAATCAAGCGAGAGGATTTCTGCTTTCTCTTTAAGATATGAAACTAAAGGTACTGGTGTGTAGGTAGTTAATACTTAACATAACACACTCACTCAAGATTTAACCTTACAAAATGTAGGCTCAAGTTGTAAAAAGACGACAGTAACTCAGGGACTTGCGGGTATCACAGTGCACATCAGTGAAAAGGGTTTACAGTTCAATTGTAAACATTGTAGAGACGCAGATTAAATATACACATATAAGTTGTATATTGTTGGGAACAACGACGAGTCTAAATTGGACCATTATGGTCATTTAACAGCAGTCAGGAGGAAGATTTCCTCATTCATGTAAATGTACGTCTCTCCAGAATGCCCTCTGCAATATGGCGGCGATGTTGATGTACAATTCAGTTGGTCAATGTGTTGTCTACATATAAGATCTTTATGGTTTTAACACCAAGCTAAGCTAACAAGCTGCCAAATGCATAATTATGTCTTAGACAGAATTAGCTATTTTCTCAAAGAAACAGCAAGCTACTTAGACACGTCTTCATTTAATGTTACTGACACGCCATGATCAAAATGTGTGATTTTGATCAGAATTCTGATAAAAATAATGTAAACCATTACTCACAGCTAATTCAATCTAATGCAAAAAGGTTCAGTGTCAAATCTGGAATGAATCAGTGTAGCAGTAATGATTGAAAATGACCCATCTATTCGCTTTTCTTTCACTGTTCACCTCAACAGAACATCAAAACTGTGGTTAGTCTCAGATAAAACTCTTTGTCTGTGCTGCTGTTGGAAACCTCTTTCTGTTTCCCTCTCTCTGTTCCCTTCTCTGTGTTTCTCTCTCTCTCTGTTTCTTTGATGAAATGTATGCTGATTGCAGCTCCTATAGGGAGCAAAACAGCTGCCTCTGATAAGCCATTCATTGTAATCGGAGCCAGGTGAACAAAATCATTTAAAAAGAGTTGCATGAAGACTTCCAGATGCAGATTGGGGCTGGAGCACATTTTGCACAGGGTGGAAAGTGGGTGTCAGGCAGTATTTTCAGGGTGACATGGGGGAGTGAGCAGGATGGTAATTCAGCCAGCCTTAATGTGAATGACTGTAATTTGTTAAAGCTAGTTAGACTGGATCAATGCCCATTATGCTCCGGCGCTCAGTGTTTTAGAAAATGACTGAGAGGGACGGCATGAATGACAAACACTGCAGCACGACAGGTGTGAAGCTTCCTCCGGATAAATGATTTGTAGTTTTATGAGTTGAAAAAGCTCCCTCATACTTGAGGAGTCAAAAAATAATGAGCTACTGTATGTGCACAAGCCAGCAACGGGTGCAGCAGAGTTTGGTGTTATGACACCAGCGCTGATTTAATTATAACAGGCAGCTTTCTGGGCCGTCTCCATAAATAATACAAGGTGTTGGGATTCATTAGCTTCTATGTTAAATCAAAACATTACTTGATGAAGATAAGTTTCCCTCCAGTACATTCCCATAAAAAACTCTCACAGGGGTCTTAAAACCGCCTCAAAAATTCACTTCAATCTGGGGCGTAATCAGCTGCACAGGCTTGAGATGAATTTAAATTAACCTGAGCTTCTAATGATATTTTCATAACATCGTGAAAAATACCTTTTTGATTTTACATTGTTACCCCGAAGAATTTAACTAATCCATGATGTGAATTATACATGACAGCAGGAAAAAGCTGCTGGGGCAGAGATGTGTCAGAGTCTGAAAGTGAGTGAGTGACATCTAGTGGAGGATGGATAGAAGTGTTATGATAGAATGATACAACATCATGTTTGGCCTGTAAGAAGTCCAACCTACAAAAACAAGCATAGTGATGGAGAGAAAAGCATTAAATTTGGTCATTTACGAATAAGAGAGGTGGGTATAATGTATTATTATTGTATTTAGATATGAACACATACAGTATAGAAGCTGCCAGTTTCATAAGAGGTGACAAATAAACATCCATTTCCTCATGTGCATATTTTGTGCACGTGAAGACGCTGCTGTTTTTGAACTCACAGGGGTTAAAGCGTTGAGAGCGTGGATTAGCAGCTATTATCACCAGCCTCTCACAGTGAAGCAGTGGTGGGGGCTGTAACTTGACCTCGCCTCTTAATGGTTGTGTGACAATGGTGCCCCGTCCCACTGGCCTGTCTGCCCCTCTGTTGTGTCCATTTATAATGTCCAGACACAGTGCAGAGGTTATTCTGAGGTGCCAGCAGGCACAAGGTGACAGGCGCAGAGGAACAAAGGGTGAGGAATGTTTCTGTTATTGTTGCTCTGGGTCGCTGTAGATGGACTAAAACAGAGATTTCTCATGTCTTTAACAAACGTGTTTACTCTGATTATGTGCTGCATGTTTTGATATGAATACTAACTTAATAACCAACATGAAATCAAACTTTTTTTATTGTGCATTTACAGTCTTAGCATGTGCATTTTAACAGGTTAAGACCATTCTTGCAGATATGATTTCCTGATAGTTTGTTCGGTGTATTAAAACTCTCATTTGTGAACGTTTTCAGATTTTCTCAGATGGTTATTTCGCCCATAAAACACAATGGTAAGTGCATTTATTTTCAATTTTTTTTTTTTACAAAAAGTTGTAGTTTAAAGCTCCTGTGAGAAACTTTCTGTTTGTATTGATGTTGGCGCCCCCTGTGGACAAAGTGTGCATATGTAAGATGTGTTTTCTGACACTGGTAGTCAAATGTTTCACTCGATTGGAGCTAAAGTAAAGAAAGTAAAGAATGAGTGAACAATTTTTCAAAATAAAAGCATGCAAACTGTCTCTCCATGTGGCAATGTTTTCTATAATTGTAATTCTGTCTGAATATTTTGGATTCGGACTCGCTGCTGACTGTTATTCCCCCCTCCGTGTCGTGTTGTTCTGTCATTTCTCCTCCAAGGTGAAGAACAGAGAGATGCCTGCAGGCCGTCATGAGCATTGTGACAAGTGTTTCAACATCCACTGTCAATTCCCCGTGCAAGTTTCCGTCTCATGCGTGATCGTCAAGTGTCGTAAAAACTGCGGCGCTGTCTTCCACATGTGTAAGCAAGAGGAGCACCAGCTACTCTGTCCAAATGAGTCCGTCCCCTGTCTCAACGTTCATTACGGCTGTCCTCTCAGAATGCTGCGCCACAGGCAGGCGAAACACCTGGAGGTGTGTCCCGCCAGCCTGGTCTGCTGCTCTCAGGAGTGGAACCGCTGGCCTGTTTCGGAAACGGATCTGACCTTCTATGAAAATGTTTCCAGAAACCTTCAAACTGAGGCGAACCTTGATGTTGCTTTGGCTCTCAGGGACCAAGAGCTGCTGTTTCAATCCATCAAAATGAAGAACCTTTTCCCTGAGCTGATGGTCCAGGATATTTGTGATGTGGCTGACAGACCTGCAGAAGAAGAAGAAGCAGCAGCAGCGTGCTCTGTGGTTTGTTGTGAATTTACAAGAAATGGATGCACACAGGTGGAGAAAGAAGAGCTGAGTCAAGAGGAGAGGGATGAGTTGGCAAAGAGCAAGAATGTAGAAAGTATTCAGAACTACAACACCTGGGAGAAAATATTCAATAAGGAGATGGAAGGGTGCAAGCAAACTGTCAAAAACCTGAACAAAAGAGAGGAGAAAGAGAGGGAAAGAGAGGAATCAACAAACTGTCAGGCAGAGACAAGAAACTGCCGGGTGAACCCGTCCGCTCAAAGCTTGGACGGTGCAACTGGACTTGCTCCATGGCAGGACGGGGTCCTGGAAAGGTTAGGAAAGGAAGTCAACATCGCTGAATATAACATGTATCTGGTTCACAACGGGGCGATGCTGATTAACTTTGGTCAACTCGCTGCCTGCACTCCGAGAGAAAAGGATTTTGTTTACGGGAATTTGGAGCCGATCGAGGTCATGACCGTCCGAACGTTTAATGTTCCTACCAGCTATCGAGCAAAACGCAGTCACATCAAAGACCCCGCACTCAGGATCAAGACCACACACCAGAGCACCGACACTGCAGATCTGAGTCTGTCAGAAGAGGATCTTCTAAAATGTGACGATGAGGTGAACACCACGATCCTGTGCTCCCTGGAGAAGGAGCTGAAAGGACATTTAATCTCAGAGAGCTCCTCTGTGGACGGTCTTTATGTGGATGTAGGAACACAAACGTACAACTTCGCCTCTGCTCCCTTCAAAACAGGCGCCTCACTCGCTGATGTTATTGCAGACAGACCGCCTCGTCTTTACGTACATGTGGAAGCCGAATCTGTCACAAGGCGACACAACAAGACGAGTTCAGCCTTCAGCTACATGTGTGGCCACTTCTTCCGCCGAGATGAATTCTGCTCTCATTTCAGGAATGTGCACTCTGACATACAGGCCTCTCTCACCGGCTGGTTTCACCAACGCTGCCCTCTAGCATACCTCGGCTGCACTTTCACTCAGACCAGGTTTCACCCTGCAGGTCACCCGGCAACAATCAAATTCTGTCAAGAAGTCAGCGCCCTTGTCCTCCAGCCTGACGTGCCCTCATCTCTCTGCAAAGGAGGGGAAACCTTCAGCCCTCAGAGAAACTCTGAACATAATCTGGATCCCCTGAGCAGCCTGCCCCTGGAGATCCTGCAGCACATCGCTGCTTACCTCGACAGTTTTACATTATTTCAGCTGTCCAAGGTCTCCCGTCTGATGAGGGAGGTGTGCGCCACATTGCTGCAGGAGAGAGGGATGGTGTCCCTGAAGTGGGAGAAAAAGACATACTCCCATGGGGGCAGCTCCTGGAGGTGTCGAAAGAAAGCAAGTATCCTTGTTTATTCTGGATTAATTCCCCAAATCATTCGTCAAAACTTTACACATTCCTGTTAAATTTATATTTTCCGATTTATCTCAACCCTGTGCACAGTTACGGGGAAGTAAACACAAGGACAAACTTCTTTGTTTGTCCCATTTTAGTGTCTGGCACTGCTCTGTTACCTGCCATTGGAAAATCAGTCATTCACACACCGCCTGACAGCTGCTGCATTGTTAACTCACTCAGACTCTCCATAGTCCTCTCAATAATACAAACTGAATCACAACCATGTTGGCAACAGTTAATAGGTTCCTGCCGAAGCAGCCGCTGGAGATTTGCTGTTTTTCTGTGTCCTTACTGAAGAGCAGCTGCAGATCGGGTCAGACGCAGTGAGCGAGTGTTTAGAGAGAGAAAATGTTTTCCCTCCACTTTCTTTAAAGTAAGAGCAATGGTGCGGTGGTAACTGCACAGTTAAGCTTGACTTTTATTATCTGAGTTGCGTCTGCATTATGAACTGAAAAAATAATCAGTGGCAGCTTTATAGGAAGCAGACCCCTGCCAAGGATGTGCAATCATCATCAAGCCAAACAAACGGCATGTTGATCCAGACCTAAATTAACTCACTCCTAACTCTGAGCTGCTGCATCCTAATGGGATGCTTACCGCTTTGTTTCCCTCCTTATTTGGAAGTTTGCTGTCGAGAGATCCTGAAAAATGGACTGAAGACAGTCACATGCAACAGCCGGATAACCAGGGAGAGAGAGACGGGGTTTACAGTGGACCTCTGAACTAATCCTGACACTCTTTGGCTTACAGGGACGCCAAGTGGGCAAATGGTCTGATCCTTACAGACGAGCACAGCTGTCATGTTTTTGGATATGATCTAAATCCTTTTAAATCATCGAAGCTGTGAGGCTGAAATTTAACTTATCGAGCTCGTCATCTATGTGCAGTGGCCTTTTACAGGATACAAATGACCCTGCTGACACCTGATATCCATCAATTACAACCTCTCTCTTCTTTGTCGTCCTCCGTCAGGTGTCCCGTTTGTGTTGACTTTGGCGCCCCCTGTGGTCAGAGTATTCCCTCTAGTTTCTACACTTGTTTTGTCAGATGCATCTATGACAAAAATTTCTATTATGACCGGTGTTGATACAGTTACTTTTGAAAAGTAATTTGATTACTGATTATGGATTACTCCTTTAAAAAGTAACTTATTTACTTTTTAGGTTACATTCAGCAGCCTCAACATATAAATGACAACTATTTTCTTTTCAAAACTCACTTTATTGGAAGTGTAACTTTAACAGGAATGTAAAAAAGATGGGTTTTTTTTAAAGACAGTCATTATTGACTTACAAAACAAACTTTTTTTATTGTTATCTTTAGCTGACACAGAGTCAAAATATTGTCTGTATTTCCAGTTTGAGAACACGCATCTCTGCTTTATATGTGTGCACATGTATTACATGTGAGGGGTCATAATACTGAAAACATGACCTGTCGCTTACGTGAAACAAAAACAAATCATCCTTTTTTTTAAGGAAAATTAGAAAAAAGTAACGCGCACAATGACTTGGACGTGTAACTTAAATCTAATTACTGGTTTGGAAATAACAACGCGTTCGATCACTCGTCACTGTAAAAAATGGATTTATTAGAGAAGCATTTTACTAAGTGATGTGTTACTGGCATCACTGATTATGACTCAGTGAAATGTTTCACAAATTGTGCAGTTAACCTTCTTACCTGACACCTACCTTCACAAAAAATAATCAATCATGTTTACTTTTGCAGGTCCTGAATAAACTTCAGTTTTAATTTCTGAGGGATTTATGCCCAGATTTAAAACTCTTCATCAAGACTGTAGGACCTAACTCAACTGTGGGATAGATTACAGAGTTAAACTAAACTCATCTGGTTTTCTTTCGCCTCTTTGTTCCCTCTTTCTGACCTACAAACACACAATCAGACGTGCACACGCTTGGACAGCATGACCTCCATCCTGCAGAGAATGGAATAAGAATGCATGTGTGTGTATTTTTGCTCCGACTATCTGTGCACAGCAGCGATCACGGGACAAAGAGCATGCCGATGATATCAGAGATGTGAAATGGCTCGAGGCCTGGCTGCCAGTAAACACAGTGCTACCATAATAAGTCAGATATGTGATCATCCGTGGAAACTAGCTGTTGATAAGGTCGTGTGGGAACAGCTGGCTATTTGACAGGACACATTTCTTTATCATTGTCTCTGATGTGATAAAAATAAGCTGCCGTCCACATAAAACACAAGTTCAAACTCATGAGACAAATACTGTGACGGCAGCCTCCTCCTCCGCCTGTCTCAGCTGGTGTGTTTGTGTCTTGCAGGTCTGGGAGTTCAGCTCTCTGTTCTCCTCCGTGGACAGATGGAGCTTCAGGGACAAACCCTCCATGTCGGAGCACCTGAAAACCTGCTCCTTCTACCAGAGAGGGGAGCCGCACACCGAGCCTGTGGCTTTAGCCTGCTTGGGAGAGGTCAGAGACATATACGCCGCAGTGAAGACGAAAAGATAACGCTCATGGTCGCAGCAGCAGAAGCAGCAATGCATGTTTAGGTCCACTTGTATGTGATGTGATTGCTCTCGCAGAGGATACAGATCCGGCTAATACAGCCGTTGTACAAAAACTAAAGTGGAATTGTGTGCTGAGGCCAGATTCAGAGACAAGTGCTGGAAATGTGACAAATTAACTTTGGCAGAAAGCACAGCCTCGGCGGATTTTAATATGATTTACTCAGCCTAAGCCTCCAGAAATGCCTGTAAGCGGGAGAAACGCTTCAGGACGGTTTTTGTTTGTGTGGTGTTTACTGAAGGAAAATGAAACTGCAACAATCACCATGAGGACACTAAAGCCTCTAATTTATTGGTATAGTGTTTGAGAAGTGGCCCTCATATTGTGTTATTTGAGACTAACTGCGTCTGTTTGGCACACTGAGCTGACGAGTGTGTTTTGTTTCGTCATATTTCAGACTGAGGGTGCACAAAATATTTTCAACTCTGCTTTAGGCGAGTGTTTTCAAAATGGCAAGACTGACATCTGCTGGAGGAAAGGCTGAAGTGCAACAACTCTAGAAGTAGCATGTGATTGCAGATCTGATTTTGCAACAGCGCCACCTTATCTTTGCACCTTGCAAACTCTGTTTTTAGTCTTCTCTGTGTTCACTTTGCAGCTTTAATTCACAGCATCACAGTTAACGGAATAAAATCACAGTCAAATGTAAAAAAAAAAAAGTCTCTTTATTGACAATAAACCTCCTCACTCCTACATAAACCGTCTTCATGATTTACTGCGTCTCAGACACTTCGGGGTTGCGTAGTTTGTTAATGACCTCAGTCAGCATTTTGTTGCACAGGGCTGCGTACGGATTAAGAACCACAGCCTGCTGTCGAGCAAATTCACTTCCAAGTGCAGCTGCTTTCTCAAAATCTGCCCTGGCTTCATCATTCTGGCATGTTAATCTCCGTAGAAGTCCTCTCTGCACCAGGGCCTGGCAGGCTGTCCGTCCAATACCACTGCTCAGAGAGATGGCTTGGTCCAGGTCCATCAGCGCCCCTGAGAAGGTGGAGAAGAAGAGCGCTGTTAGGGCTTCAGGTCACACTGATGCAGCTGAAAGGACTCGGAATTCGTTTGTTACCAATTAAATTAAAGTATGCATGTAAATAAGTGCAGATGTGTGATTTATTTTGTTGATGTGAATGTTAATGTGCTCTACGGTGGCCTCTGAGGACAAGACTAACACCTCTTACTGTCCATTTGTTAAGTTTTTAGCATCTAAAATTCCCATAAAGTACAAATTCTTATAATCCATAACCGATCTCCTCTTCTTCTTTGTGTTGCAAATGATCAATTTTGGACTGTCTCTCTCAAAAATGCAAAATCACAGATGGCCATAAAGGGAGAGTGAGGTGATTTGAGCCGTTTTTCACCCAAGGCGTGTTTTGCATAAGGGCCTGATGTCTCTGTGTCCAACTGCACTTGATTAACATATTTCAGGATGTGGGAATAATCTCTGTCACTCTAAAAAAATCAATCTAAAATAGGTTTAAGGCCTAAAAAAGCACCTTAAATCAATAACACTATGATTATTTAATATAAACATGAATCCAAAAAGTGCAGCAGTCTCCAACATAAGCTGAACAGCAGATATTTGAGATAAATACAGAGCTGTTATTTTTATTATTGCTGCTCTGCAACTCTTAAACCAACGATGTGATTTTACACAATGTGTGCAGGTTATAAATAAACTCCACGTAGGTGTTTTGTAGGGAAATATTCTTGTTTTTCAGCCTGAACATCTAAAACTGGCTTCAGGTTACAGACAAATTGGAAAGCACAGCTGATAGATAGAGAGACCGATTTTAGAAACAGACAGCGCTGGTGAAAAGATGTTACAGTGCTGAGTACATGATGTGACTGACAGCACATCCTCCTGAGAGAAAGAGCAAAATAAGCAAAACTGCAGCAGCTCAAATGTGCCAAAATGGTCCGAAAGCCCAAATACACTCTCTTTTGGGGTATTTTGAAACCCTCAGTAAATGACATTAATGCACGACTCAGGAAAAACACCTGAATCTTTTGATGTACACTCCCCTGTCATGTTGGTGACAGACAGCAGGTTAAAGTACCGAGCACAGGGCTGCTGCCGCTGCTGCTGCTGCTGCTGCACAGCCTGTACTGTAGCACTGCTGACAAAGTGAATTAGATAGACAAAGCTCTGATACTGGCCTCCGATCTGACAGTGTGATGTGTCGGCACACTGCGCTCGTCTGGAAAGTGTTATTATTGAATTTGTGGCGTGTACCTGCTGTGTTCCCCTGCAGCCGCAGGGCCTGAGCCCGGTTGTTATAGGCTGAGGCTCTCCCAGGCAAGATCTGGATTGCCTGGCTGAACAGTTGAAGTGCAGCTTGCAAATCCCCAGCCTCTGCTGCCGTGACACCCTGCATCTCCAACTCTTTCACTTGCTTCAGCAACTCTGTGTCAAAGCCAGTGTCTGTCGGGGGGAGATAAACAGGTTGAAAAAGCACTCAAACTCAATTGACAGGTACCGTGGCAAGCAAAACACAGAAACGTCACCAAGAGCTCAACTCGGATTAAAATGTCATGATTTTTTTTCAGTCCGGGGATGGCACGCGTTCAAATAAATTCAATATGCTGTGAAATGATAAACATAAAACGCTGTGACATGATACGCACAGACACATCCAGACAGAGGCTCACACTCACCATCATCAATTAATTCCTCCTCTTGGTTCAGGCCGGGGATGTCTCCAAAGGGGGTGGTGGGGTTGAATATAGCTTGAAGTACGGCTCTATCTTGGGCTGAGGCCATCTTATTGGTGTCAGTGAAGACAGCAGAAAAAAGGCAAAAATGAAAAGTCATGACACCTTTTTACAGCAGGGTGAAAAAACTCTCACTCCCCTCACTTCTGCCATCTCCACCGGCCAATCAGAGGAGGGGGTGGAGGCAGGGTTGGACTTTGAGATGTTGAACACATCTGTATTTGGTTAAGTCAAAAATGCAGGCGGGGGATAAGCAGCTCTCATAACAGCATGGAGTAAAAAACATGTTCGTATCTGATAGTTTCTGCAAAGAAAATGATAGAAAAGTTTTTCAGTAGCTGTCAAAAACTTTTGGTGTTCTTAAGAGGGAGATAAATAGGAGCACAGAGTCAGAAGAAAACATGGAGAGAAAAGCTGAAGATGTTTTTAATGATCAGTGAAAAGAAAACTTTTAAGAGAAGAAAGAAGTTACTCTAAATAAAAAGAGTAAGATAAAATACACCAATTCAGCATCAGTTTATTTCTACATTATGAGACGCTGCAGCTTTAAGAGCGCCATTGTCAAGTGCTGCGTCCGAACTGCCCGCTCGGATACTACATGCTACTGCTACATACTACTGCTAGATCCTACTCCTACATACTAAACACGTTGGCCCAATTCGGACACACTAGACGAGCGGTGGGGAAAGACGACCCCCGCAGGCAGAGAGTAGGTACTGCGCCCGTGCAGACAGTGGTAACTGAAGCCCCTCATCTGCGGGCCTGGCTGTAGTACTGCAGCTGTGCAGTTAAATGATGGAATAAGTGAGCTTTACCTCCATGATGTCGCCACATATTTGCTCATAAAATGATTACTTGGGCAAATATGACACCATGACATGACAAAGAGATACAACCGCACATTTTTTAAGACAGTGTGTGAAGTTACATGAAACTTACATCTGTACTGCTGCGGTCCCGCCTGCTACTGCTGCTGCTGCTCCGACATGGTGCGCGCTGCTGTGGCCAGCCGGCGTTCGCGACACATTTAAATAGGCAGAGCAGCTGGTGGCGCTAGCATCACATGCGCTTCTACAACTTTTAAGAGGACGAAGAAGAAGCCCGCGGTGCATTTTGGGTCAGTAGCATGCCCGTAGGATGCACCGAGACCAACCTACAATGTGGGCGTGTCTAGCATCTGAAGTAGTATCTGAAGTAGCATGCTACTCGCTCCGGTGGCCAATTCGGACATGCTAGATACTACTTCGACTACTACTTCGACTACTACTTGGCAATTCGGACGCAGCTATGCTCTCACTTACCTGTTCACCTGCTTCCTGAGTGGGCGGAGCTCCAGAGCTAATTAGAGTAAGAGCTCACCTGTGACAAACTCTCCTAGAAACAGTGGAGTTGGCCCTTCTGAGATGATGAGATACACCCTGAAGAATGTGTGTACCAAATTTGGTGCTTTTATCCACCGCATAATAATTTGGCCATTTTTTCAAGTTAACAGACCCTACTATGAGGTGGTGTGTTCGAGCCTTTTTCGGGACAAGGTGAATTTTGAAGTCTAGTGTCTGGACAGGAAATTGAAAGAGGAAACAAATGGTATAATCCTGTGTCTCCAAGTGGCTCAGAGGATAAGAACACTGACTGGGATTCCTGAGGTCATAGGTTCGAGTCCAACCTTGCCCAGTTCTAAGTGAATTTTGAAATCTAGTGTCCACAAAGTACAGTGATATATGAAAAAAAACATGATGGTCTTCTGTGTCCACATGGCTCAGGGGATAAGGAGACTCACTGGTACTCCTGAGATTGTGGGTTCAAGTCTTACCCTGTCCAGTTCTAGGAGAATTTTAAAGTCTCGAGTCCACAAAGGACAGCGATATGTGAAAAAAGAACCCAATTCTCTTGTGTGTCCACATGGCTCACAGGATAAGGAGACTGACTGGGACTCCTGAGGTGGTGTGTTCAAGCCTTTTTTGGGACAAGGTGAATTTTGAAGTCTAGTGTCTAGACAGGAAAGTGAAAGAGGAAACAAATGGTATAATCCTGTGTGTCCAAGTGGCTCAGAGGATAAGAACACTGGCTGGAACTCCTGAGGTCATAGGTTCGAGTACTACCTTACCCACTTCTTGGTGAATTTTGAAGGTCTAGAGCAGGGGTCTTCATATGAATTTTCAGTGAGTCCACCTGAATGAAATGCCTGCAGGCCTGGGTCCAGAGATTTTTATTTATTTATTTTTTTACAGTGCATTACTCTTTTGAAACATTCACTTCATTTGTACTGCCAATAACTGCCTACTTTCAATTGGCTGTGTGCTTCTTGTCGGTAAAATGAATGCAAATGACTCGGTCCACTCGCCATAAAACACCCTGTTCTCATTCTGTATCTTTCGTGGTTTTGAAGCTGACATGTTTAGCTGTTGCTTCAACTTTCTCCTCAGTCTGCCGCCTGACAATTTTCAACATCGGGATTGCTCGGTAATCTTCGTGTGTCCAGTAGGCTAAGAGGTCTGATTTGATTGACAAGTCAAGCGAGTAAGCAAGTGATGTAATGCCTTGCTGAAATTGCACGTGCAGTTTACTGAACCAGGCACAAAGCAAGAGAGTAAGGCTGCACGATATTGGAAAAAACTAACATTGAGGTTTTTTTCAACCCTGCGATATATATTGCGATATTAAAAATATAGGAATTTTCACCAGATGACCTGAATAGCATTTAATGTTATACTGCACTGCTGAAGTCTTGAGGACAGTTAACCTGCTTTGATCTTACCTCTTTTTGTGAATGTTAGTAGAACGGCTTCTGTCTGTCTCAGAGATATTTTTAGCTTTTATTGTGCTGGGACGTTATTGTGGCGACAGATGAACACAGAACACGTGTTTTGGTCGACATCATCCTTCTTTTAACCGAAATAATTCCAGATAACTGACTTTCCTTTTCTTTTTGGCAACAAATCTTCATATTCGGTGGTTTTCTCTTGTTCGTTGCTCATTTTGCAATGTTGTTGTTGTTGTTGTTGTTGTTAGCAGTGTTGTGCCGAGAAACACATGTCCTCCGAGAATTGCATGCACCTCGCAAAACGCGCACCGCTTATTGTAGAGTGGTCCACGGAAATATACATTTTAAAACCCATACACTTCTTATTTGTTGGACTTAACAGTCAGTAAAGTTCCGAAAGTAATTCTCAGCGGACACCCGTCTCACTCCATGTGCAGAACATGTGCATGGGTGGGTTTCCGCCTCTCTGATTTTGATTGACAGCTGGCAGGGTAGTCTGATTGGCAACTGAGAACTGAGTCTGATTGGCAACTGAGTAAAGGACAAAGGTGATTGGTGGATCTCTGCAAAGCACATGCAGAGTCACATGCAGTGTATCTCAGTCAGCTACCCTTGAAATTAACTGAGTTCATTCACCTCCGACATCGCAGGCTCTGCGATGTGACTATCGCACACACTTATATCGTGCAGGCCTACAAGAGAGAAAAAAAATATACATTTTTCTGCGTATTGGACTCTTTCCCGGTTATTACTTATTGTAGGACGCCCTCTGATTCTTCAGTGGCTAAAAACACTCAGTTATGAGCATGTTTGCATCATCTCCACTCATGTCAGTATTAACATTTGTACTGAGAGCTTCCATTTAAGTGTGTCATTAAAACAAAGAGGGACAAATGGAAAATTTTAAGTGCTACTCTGATTTTTCCACTCAAGCTAAAACAACATTAATGTTGGGAAACTAATGACAGCAGGATAATCATGATAAGTGTGAAACCAAGCGGTGGTTATGACAGGATTCAAGGGTGAAAGTAGGATAAGGTTCTTGCAGGTACTGAACCAGTAGGCTTTGTACAAGAGGAGCACGCCCAAGTTTAACGAGGTGTCGACTCTGATGCCACAGTATCCTCATCTGCTGCACCTCTTTTTCTCTTGAACATAAAATCAACTGTCTCTTTAAAAGTTTCCTCTCTTTAAAAGGCGGAAGGTGGTCCCCAGCACCTAGGCAACGTCCAATCAACAGTGCACACTGAGCGCTCCCACTCCTGGAGTTTGTTCGCGGAAACAAATACGACTAATTTGCAAGCAGCATGGTCCTATTGGATTACTATGGTTACAATGCAGAGTGCAGACACGCAAAACAAAGGTAGCCTTCATACATGGGTGAAAGTTTGCGTACCCCTGCTTACCGGCTGCAGACTGCTGTTTATGTCTTCCCGGTATGGCCTACTGCTGTGTATCGGCTTACTTTCACCCCTGACAGGATGAGAAAAGGTCTCATCTTAGTCGAGGCTCAGTCTTGGATTATCTTTATTTTGGGGTTTTTGTTTTGTTTTGGGACTACGCCCTCTGCTCAGCCGGCTGGCCGTCCGCCGCGCGGCGGCCGACCAATCGCCTGAGCAGAGGGACTACGCCCTCTGCCCAGCCGGCTGGCCGTCCGCCGCGCGGCGGCCGACCGATCGCCTGAGCAGAGGGACTACGCCCTCTGCTCAGCCGGCTGGCCGTCCGCCGCGCGGCCAGAAAGCTTAAGTATCTCTAAAGTTCAGCCTGCTCTGACTACCTGTAGCATAACCCCCCTATTTTATCTCTCTGGAAACACCGGGGGGGTAACCCCACACCCCTGGGCTGAGCGGGTTTCGAACCACGAGCCGGTCTTCAACCAGAACACATGGCTCACATTAAGGTGTTAGATGTCTACCACACTGCGCCACCGGAGACGGGGATGAGCCTTGCGTGCTTTTATCTTGGTACTGTTGCTCCTGGACTTTAAAATTCATCCTGAATAAGGTTTGAACAGATGACCTCAGGAATCCCAGTCCATGTTCTTATCCTGTGAGCCATGTGGACACACAAACCACATGTCCTACTATAAGGATATAGAGGTATAAGTTTGTCCCCAAGGGGGTGCCAAACTCCAGACGGAGGCTTTAAATAAATCATTGCTAACTCAATTCTGGAGCAAAATCACTTTATCCCTTTAGTACATTCATAGTACTTCTCATTTAATAATAATAATAATAATAATAATAATAATAATCACAATAACAATAACAATAATAATAATAATAATGAAGAAACTAAAAGCACAAATAATCAAAAAGATTAGGGAGTTAACATCAGCAGCTTTTTTCTTAAAATAAAAACAAACACAAGCTCCAACTTTCAATTGCAATTTATTTCAAGTGATGCTAAAATGAAAATCTATGTTTAATAAACTTATAAACACTCCATTTATATCCCAAACACACACAATACCTACAGCCACCCAAACTCTGCAGATACAGTAAATCCTTCTTCAGTAGCCGCTTAGTTAACACTTGATCAAACAGTACGAGGACCTGTTAGAGTATAACCCAGCTGCAGGTTGTCTGAAGGCCTGTGCCAAGCCTTGATATGCATAATATTCAGGCCTGTGGTATTAATAACAACTCTGATGGGTTTTTTAATGTGCAGCTTAACAGACAAGTAACGTCTGGTCCTTTGCATGTTAATAAAATACACTCAATGAATGGAACGAAAGCACTTTTCAATGTGATTCTGTGTTACAAGAAAGAATGACAAGGTGTGAAAGCATCATATAAATGTGCCCAATGTAATTGCATACTTCTTAAAATCGTTCCACATGTAAGGAAGGCTATATATAGACCCTACAAAATAAAAGTGAAGATGTGAGCTCGTGAAACGATGAGGGCGTCTCAGAATATGCGGGTACAGGACTCTGGACTCAGTGGAGGAAGGCGTGTGGAAGACATCTCATCTCTGGTGGAGGGACTACGACAGTATCTCGGCAGATTTCACACCACAAAATGCAAGTCGGGACGTGTAGGTTCGGAGGTTGAGTGTCTGTGGAGAGGTAGACGACGTACACAAGCACCTCATTCCCTAAAGCTTTTGTAGTATTTGCTCTACAGACCACGAGATTTCAAGAATGGCTTTCTACTCTCATGTTTTGGTGCAGATCTCGTCCCATCGGACCCTGAGACATTTCTGTTGGATGTGATTTGAACAGTGCTCCTGTATAAACATCACTCACATTTCTAATCCCAAACTTGTCATTTTTCACCTGAAACCCTCACACGCCCAACACACTGACAGTCGTCACGCTGAAACCTGGACTGAAGCCTCCGCGGCAGACGCTGAAGAAGCTTTCTGGACGTTTAGTTTCGACCCTGGATGTCAAAGTTGTTTCACTCAGCTTTGCTCCTTTCAGACTCAGGAAGAGGCCGGCTGAATAGATGAAGTCCATGAATGAGATACTCTAAATACCTGCAATTTCTTATTAATCTTAATCTTATATACAATCATGATCGTAACCTGACGAACGATGACGTTTCACAGCCATTAGGAATAACCAATCGAAGCCCAGCACTTCTAGCCAATAAGAGGCGAAGGAGGGCGGGATATTCCGGGACGGTGCGCGTAGCGACAATGCTGTTTGAGCCGAGCGTCATCATGGCGACTGTCCCGCCGAACGCGCATAATGCGACTGCGCAAGTGGAGAAGCGCGTACAACGCTACTGCGCGATGTTTGTTTCAGGAAATGGGGAAAAATGGCGGAAATACCGAGAGCTTTTCGGCTTCAAATCCGTATACAGGCGGAAGGAGGAACCAAGTTGTCCGTAGTATAAACAGTCTATGGTTTGAAGTGTGAGTTTTCTGATGAGTGAGTGTGTTAGCATTGTCTCCTGAAAACTGGAAAAAAAAAAACTCTTCAAGAATCCCGAGGGACATGGATGTAAGCACTCTGGAAGAAAACAGTGTGGAGGTAACTCATCAGTTTTACTCTAACTATCATCTGCAGGATTCAAACTTTAAGCCATTACTTTAAGTCTTTTATCCCAGAATCTCAGAGTAAGACTGTCAGATCTACAGAAATAAGACCAGACAGTCAAACAATGTTGTTGTGTGACTGAACTGAGCAGACTCATGTACTCACAATCACTTGGTTTGACTTCTACATCCTTTTACAGAGGACTTTAAAGGGTTTATTTCTGTTCTCTATATCAGGAAACACCCCGGCTCAGATCCTGCTGTTTGCTGTTCCTGCTTACCTGGGAGTTTATGCACCTTGATGACATGATACAGAGAAAGGTAGGACATGTTTCTGATTAAATGTGTGCCGTCTGCTTTGGTTTCTTTTGGTCCTGTTGCTCAGTTGGACATGCTGGGTTGTCGGCACACCTGTAGCTTCCTGTATTCTGCTGCTTTATAGCTGCTTGGTGTTCTGTTGGGTCTTTGTCGGTCGGATGTTTCTTGAATTTACATGCAAAAGGAAAAGCTCCAGTAATGGAGAGGGTTGAAGAAGTTGTGGGCTGTTAATCCTCTATTGCGCTGGATTTGCTGACTGCAGCCATTTTGCATTGAGTCTGTGCAGAGGCCTATTGTGTGACTACATCATTTATCATGTTTGTATGTGCAGTAAAACAGGAACCAGGCAGTCAAATACAGACTTGAGGCATGAAATATAATGCTTAAACAGAGAGCAGTGAACACAGCTTTACCGTATACTATTCGAGCTGTACAACTCCACAGTCCTCTTATTTGTCTTGTGATACATCTCTTGTTTTTGTCATGAAAGATTCAATGAAAATACAGTCAATATGTTACATATAAACACAATTATACTACACACAAACAAACATAGACATCGATACTATCTGTGACAAAGACTGCAAGTAAATGTACTGCACCTTTAAGCGAAGATAGACTAATCAAAATTACCACCGAAAACATGGCAAGGGAATAATTCTGCATTCCAGTTCAACCCGAGTTGACGGTGTTCCAGTTAACAAGTTGGAAAGCCAAGATGGACGCCTACTGTTTGCTGTTGTTAGCTGTTGTTTACAATTGTCAGCTATTATTAGCTCTTGTCAGTTGTTGTTAGTTGTTGTTAGCTACACCAGTTGTAAACAACACATAACGCAGTATTTTACTCTTACAAACACCATAGCACCGTGTTCATGGTTAGATGTTGGGCAGTACAACATAAACCACTTAATTAATTTTACAAAAACAAAACAGAAGTACTATTACATAATTCATTACAAGAGTTTTCACTGTTACTCTTTACTGTTGATGCACTGCGCTGCCATCTTGGATTATGGCGTCATTGTCCAGTCGGGGTTGGTGAGGATTGTCCGACTTTCTGAGTCGGAAATCCGACTTCAGGGGGTGTTCCAGATGAATTTTGCGACTCGAAGCTCGGAGTACAACTGGAATGCAGGCAGCATAAGTTACCAAATGAGATATCTAAGTATTTATTATATCATACTGTATAAAAAATGGACGCCGTCTCCAGCAGACCTTATGGAGCTGTGGACGAACTGAACGAAGAAATTTATTACACAGAATTTAATTTTTTCTCCTCCCTGGTTGCGATGTTGACATGTAGTTACTGTCAGACTGGTTTGTGCTCAAGTCCTTTTTTTTTCTGTATAGCTCCATTTTTAAAAGTTATTAGGGGGTTTCATGCCGAGTGTCATCACAGCGACTCTCGGCAACTCTCCCGCCAAAAGTGTACAACGCTACTGCTTAAGATGTGGAGAAAACCCCTGAAATATTGAGAGCGATTCGGCTTCAAATTTGTATAATGATGGAAGGCGGAGCCAAGTTGTCCATAGTGTATACAGTCTATGGTAATTATATGCACTTTTAAACTAAACTTTTATACTACTTTATTCCTATCGACTGTTCTGATAAGTGCCACACACACATTACCTCCAAAGACAGATACCAGATGACAAGAAAATTTCACAGCGCCCTAAGGAAACCAGTGCACACGGCTGATAGTGAAGTTACAGTCCTGAAATGAAGAGCATCCCTCCTTCAGGGATCTCCACAGCAACAGACGAGGGTATGGAGGCAGAAAATAACTGTTCAAAACGAGGTGTTGTTGTTGAGATTGCTGATATCAGCCGTGGGGAACATCAGATATCATCTCAGGGGGGGGGGAACGGATGACAGCTATAGTAAGTGATATAGTAGTATGAGCACAGGTGACATGGATCAAAACAATATGATCAAAACACGGAGACTTGTCAAAAATCTCATATAAGCAAGTGGAAGTATCCCCGGTAAATATGTGTAAGGAGGTCCCCTGGATGAAAGTCGTTCCAGCTCAGAGTCGTTTTTTTGTTGTTTGCAATCGCTGTGAGCGGTGATGTGGAACAGGAGAAATATCATGGAGGAACAAGCAAAGGCTTCTGGGACTCCTGAGAGGAGAGGATAGATCTGATGTAGAGCGGGAACACACAGTAAGTGGAGAAAGTGAGTGTGGAAACGGCTTTCAGCTGTTAAAGATGTGGATTTCTGCTTGTTTGGACTTGTAGTCCTGTCTGATGTGCTGTAGAAGAGGCAACTGAAGCTGATTTCCTGAGCATTTCTTTAGACGGACAGTAGTGAGTCAAATATGTGAGGTTTTTCTTTATAGTTTGTCTATTTTACAGAGATTTAGTTGAACATTTTCAACCGGCAACAGGAGAGTGATACAGCTGTTAGAGAGCTTTATTAAAACACGAGTTATCTGAAGAGCTGGTCTAGACGGTGCTCTGTTCCACAATTTACAAAAACCCAAAATAAAGATAATCCAAGACTGAGCCTCGACTAAGATGAGACCTTTTCTCATCCTGTCAGGGGTGAAAGTAAGCCGGTACACAGCGGTAGGCCATACTAGAAGGACATAAACAGCAGTCTACTGATACGCAGGGGTACGCAAACTTTCACCCATGTATGTAGGCTACCTTTGTTTTGCGTGTTGCAGCGCCTCAGTCTGCACTCTGCATTGGAACCGTAGTAATCCAAAAGGACCATGCTGCTTGCAAATTAGTCGTATTTGCTTCCGCGAACAAACTCCAGGAGTGGGAGCGCTCAGTGTGCACTGTTGATTGGACGTTGCCTAGGTGCTGGGGACCGCCTTCCGCCTTTTAAAGAAAGGAAACTTTTAAAGAGACAGTTGATTTTATGTTCAAGAGAAAGAGAGGTGCAGCAGATGATGATACTGTGGCATCAGAGTCGGCTCCTCGTTAAACATGGGCGTGCTCCTCTTGTACAAAGCCTACTGGTTCAGTACCTGCAAGAACCTTATCCTACTTTCACCCTTGTATCCTGTCATAATCCACCGCTTGGTTTCACACTTATCATGATTATCCTGCTGTCATTAGTTTCCCAAAATTAATGTTGTTTTAGCTTGAGTGGAAAAATCAGAGTAGCACTTAAAATTTTCCATTTGTCCCTCTTTGTTTTAATGACACACTTAAATGGAAGCTCTCAGTACAAATGTTAATACTGACATGAGTGGAGATGATGCAAACATGCTCATAATTGAGTGTTTTTAGCCACTGAAGGATCATGCGACTTTGCATTCTGCTTTGATCAGTTGCCTTGACAACACTTAATGCCAAATAATGGATGTGATGGATATGTAACAGCAGCGCCATATGTTGACAATTCATATTTCCCGAGAGTGGCAGGAAATTGATTCACAATAAGGCTTGGGGTGAAGGAAATGCTTTTGATGTGGGTGCAGTTGATTTTCTGTAATTACAGACGGCAGTAAGTTTACCGTCAGCTTTCAGACGTACAAAGATGGCAGCGTTTTCATACTCTCAGGGTTAACCAGCTTTCTATCAGGCTGCTTCAGCTGTAAACATGTGCAAACAAAAAAACGTGTCCATCAGGTTTTAGAGGAAGATAAAAGGAAGAAAATTTCTGTCGGAAAGAAAAAGAGTTTTTCCTGTTTTTGCAAAAACATTACCTGGGTTTTTTCTTTTGATATTAATCCAGGCTACTGAGTGTTAAATTTCTTTGTTGCAACAGATTTGTCTTTAAAGGAAAACACCATTACACAACAGGAAGTATGCAAAAGTGCGTGCACAAAAAGTCCAATCTGTGCAAAGATGGCGTACAGTTACTACAAGACAAGTTGATCACTCACCGATGTCCAAGTCTCTGCATAAATTTAACAGCATTTGCACCTTTTAAAGGTTCCAGTTCAGGTGTTTTCTTAGATTGTCATGCAGGTGCAACATGCATGAAACTACAAATACTTCCAACGTTTAAGTATGAGAGGTCAAAACAAGCCAACTTTAGATCCAAGCTGCAGGTTTGTGAAGATTTGTACCGTGAAAATATATTGCTCTGTGACGCAGTTGTGCCTGTATGCTTAGCTCATTGAAGGTAACTCCAGGTCAGAGTGCTTTGGTTACTGTCAGTTGAAAATGCCATTCAAAGGTGCGGTGATGTTAATGTCTGTAAAATCATGTGTTAATTTCCGACCTGAAAAGCACTGCAGATATTCAGTCAGTTTGCAGCAGCTGCATGACAGCCGTGGTTCTCCGTCTGAAAACAACAGACTGTTTTCTTTGAGTGGGGAGTGAGTCTCTGCCATGAGTGAAGGAGTTGAAGTATCTCAAGGTCTTGTTCACAAATGAGGGAAAAATGGATTGTGGATTTGGGCAGCGTTCAATTATTTCTGGCATCACACTGACCAAACCATCTTGGTGGAGAAGGAGCTGAGCTGGAGGGCGAAGCTTTTTTCGATCTTTGTTCCAACCTTCACCTGTGGTCATAAACTGTAGGTGGTGACTGAGAGAATGAGACTATAAGCTGCTGAGAGGAGTTTCCTCCAAAGCTTTAGAGTCCAACTCAGCAGAGAGCATCAGTTGGAGCTTGCTGAGGTGGTTCAGGCATTTGATTGGGATGTACTTCCCTGTGAAGGTGTTCTGGGCCGAACCAATGGGAAAGAGGCCTCAGGTGGGCTCAGAGTTTGCTCTAGGGATTATACATCCCATCTGGTCTGGGAATACCACAGGAGGAGCTGGAAAATGTAGCTGAGCGGAGGGAGGACTTGCTGAGACTGCAGCCCCGATAAAGTTTCTCTAGGACTGAGGTAACATCTAGATCCAACCATCCAAATAAATTTACAGTCACATAAAAACGGAGAAAGTATATCCCGCCTCAGCATATATAAAAAGAAACTACAGAGACTCATCTTCTCTGAAATGAAAAGCCTGAATGAAACCTGCGTGACCACCGCTGCAGGTATAAAATATCTCATTTAAACATCGACTGCTGTGCCGCTGCGGTTCAGTATTCAACGGCCATACGAGGACTTAATTTAGCTGTGACAGAAAATCTGATCAAGACAAATTACTGCGAGGTTTAAAAAGGGGAATTAAAAGCCTTGGACAGTGTAGTTATTTGCTTGGATGATAAAAATCCAGAGGGATTAAAAAGAGAGAAGAGAGGGAGAAGTTTTCTTTTTTACCACTTGAGAGAGCTGTTGCTGCTTTTATTTCTGCCACCGATCCTCCGAGTCAGCACCGACAGTTTGATCCTGCAGGACTCCTATTTTCTGCAGGGTAATAAGAGTTAAAGAGTGAGGGCCAGGCGATCGTGTTCACGGTCACTCGGTAAGCAGCAGATTTTCTACAGAAGCACACTGTTGTCCCCCAAGGCCTCCCCAGAAGCGCTAAAGTGGAGATGCAATTGTGTAAAGATTACCAGCCTCCTTTTACTGCAAATGTCACTGAATCAGCACCACTCAACGTCATTTCGTCAATAGGAAAACACATCGGCAGTGTTCACCGACTCCACAAACAACATCCGAGGAGCTGCTGCTGCTCCAGGCCAAGAGGGAAATTAAGAGATAATCAAAACAGACTGACCCTCGATGGCAGGGCCGCCGAAAACCTCAGCAACAACATATAACAAAGAACACATCCTTAGTATTTCCTCTTAGCAATTACAGGAACAATGGAGAGATTAAATCTGACTACAGCAGCAGGATTGTATAAATAATGGAGGAGCATTTACTGAGGTGCGAGTCGAGAATGAGACATTATTACTCATTAGCTCTTCAGCAGACATAATGGACTTTAGTTAAAGGGCTGCAATCTCTTGATGGACTTTCAGGAAGACACCAAAGAGAATTTTTTATTCCTAAAAATGCAAATGAGCCGAGAAACATAAATGAGTCAGAATGAATGGAATAATAGCGCGAGATAAAAGCACCGGGTCCTCCTTGTTTTTCCTCCCCTCTTCTCTTTCCCGCCTAGTCGTGTTGGGTAAAGAAATGGACCTGGATATCTTTATAACCCTGAGAGGCTTTAGCTTTGCTGCACTCCTGTCTGTGAATCTGACATCAAAGCTTGTGCTCCTAATCCCTCTGCCCTATGGAGGTAAACAGGGGCCCGCGTGTCGATACCTGGCCGGTTATGATGTCGTAGGACTATCGCGTGCTGTGCGGGGGCACTCTGAGCTGGATTAAAACAAAGTAATCCGCTCTATAGGGAGACGGGGAATAGCTGCAGAGGTGCCAGAGGTTAGGCAAATAAACAATGTGTGTCTTTTTTATGGGGAAATCTTAAGCAGGGCCTTCTGTGCTGCAGCATAAAGAAAACTACACACCATGGGTCTCGTCTCCCTTTTGCAAAGGCAAGCAGGAAATGTTCGCAGCATAAAAACCTCCAGTTGGCTTCGGGTGAATAATAGTCACCACCAGATTCCAACCAGGAGCTACAGTTTCAGCTGCGCACTGTACAAATCCTGAATAATAATATCAAAGCTTTGGATTTCTTGGGGAAATTGTTTATTGTACCTTGTAATAGACCATATCCACTCCCTCCATATTCGCCTCCAAACCCAGGCTACAGTATGTTACAGATTTTATTACTTTTTGTGAATTTGTAAACAAGTTTTATGGCACCTCCTGTGCAGGAATGTAGAAAAGCTTCTCCTGACTCATAGTTCAGCCGGGCTCAGTGCAACAATGCTGTCAGGCACCGCTGATGTTTCCTGCAATGAGACGTTGCAGGTGGTGGGATCCATCAACATAAATCTCAGCGGTCTAATATAGCCTCCCTCTGTTGTTGTTGCACTTTGGTTTCTTATTTCAAAACAGATTAGTCCGGATCAGTATCAGACTGCAGGGTGTAAATGAAAGGATAGTCTATTGTTTTAAACAGTGAAATGCTTGTTGTGAAGTATGAAGGGTTTGTTAGCTCAGGAGATAAATTGGTGGTGGTCAGAACTTCCTGTCTCTCTTCTACCTGGACTTTGAAGGTGCAGGATGAACTATTGAGTGAATGCAAGCAGAACAGACGTAGTACTATAAATATAAGTATGTTTAACCTGTTTATAAATACCTATTTTTAACTATTATTAAGTGATGCAAGACAGATCATGACAAGTGGTTGACAACATACGCAGTACAAACAGACAATGGAGACAAAACAATAAAGGGATAAGTAAAGCAGGAACACATAACTTTTAGGTATTTTAAGTTTGAAGGTGTTGCAAGGCTGTGTTTAAGTAAGTGTGAGTGGGTGAGTGTTTTTATGTGTGTTGAGGAGTGTGTGTGTTTATGGGTGTAGTTGTCCCTCATTTTCCCCTCTTTTAAATTGTGATAATTGTTGAACAGAGAATGAGAGCAGAAAAAGTAAACGGTATGACATAATAACATAATAAAATAATAATTATTAAAATAATAAAACAAATAAAAATAAAACACAATAGTAAAAAAGTAGATAAGTTTAATAATAGAATAATAAATAAATATATATAAAATAACAATAAGTAGATATATAAATAATAGAATAATAAATAAATTTGTAAATAGATATTAAAAATAAATAGATAAATGACCAATATAATAATACATTTGTAAAAAAAAAAGATATATAAAATAAAAAAACAAATAAATAGATAAATAAACAATAAAATAATAAATAAATTTGTAAAAAATATATATAGTATAAAAAATAAAAAGATAAATAAATTATAGAATAATACATTCGTTAAAAACATATAACATAAAATAAAATTAAAAAAAGTAGCTAAATAAAAAATAAAATAATAAATTTGTAAAAAAAATATATGTATAGTGTATGAATACCTTATTATGAACATTGCTTTTTGTCCACTTGAGTGGCAGGAGGGGCGAGCAAGGGAGCGTTACAACGCACCATCAAACAGCTGAGTGTATAAATATTTCCATTCCTGCACACTGTAAATTCAAAGGATCCTTACAAATACAACGAGTTAAACAATGCTAAACCTCTCATTTATATGAGCATGGAAAAAATAGCATAAGTTTGGTTAATTTTTCATTATTTTGGATGTGGATTTTTACATTTTTCAATATTTTTGTTCATGCCAATCCTGTATCTGCCTAAATAATGTCTCAGACTATTTGTTGTTGAAAGACGGCACATTTATTACCAGAACAGGATGTAAAAGACGAAAGGATTTGTCTAACGAGAAGCTCTTTCTCTGAGAATTGGGCGTGAAATGTCTGACCAGCTTTCAGCACACACACTTAGACACAATCACTGCTTCTCATTTAGCCAACCAACCGTGATTAAAACTATAACTGCTGTGGGGGCAACAAACCCATTATAAAAGCAACTTTTGGATTTGAGATCCTCTGAAATGTGACCGTAATGTTCCTCGCAGAAATGTGCAGGAGCGTAGCCGAAACTGTCGTGATGAAGCATGGATGATTTATGGTTCATGTGGGCAGAAACAAAGGGATTTAAGTGCAGCAGGCTGCTTGTTAAAGGTTTTGTGCCACCTTTCAGCAGCTGATAGAAAACAACAGAGTGAAACTTTAGAACAAAACCAGATCTAGTGAGGTGAGCCCGTCTTATAGATTTCCCCAGGCTGAGGTTCGTTCAGGCCTGCTGGGAATGCTTTGCAGATGTTGAGTGAAATTTGATTGTGGGTTTGGACTGATAGTTTGTGTGTTTTTGTGTTGTGTGTATTAGGGGGGTCTTTGTACACTGCATCTGGGCTCATTCTCACAAACAATCTTGTGTTGCCTTACAATTTAAAGGTGCAGTCTGTAATCTGAAAACATACGTCGAATCTGCTGCTGCTCTTTCATTACCAGAATAAACACTGATGTAGGACACATGTTGTCTTTTGAATGGAGAGATGCATGTTTGTACTTGAATGTAGAGCTACAATCTGTAATACTAGATAAGAAAAACAAGATTCCTCTTGTGTGTGGAGAAACAGCCAGACAATATACAAAAATATGTTTGTCTGAATGACAAAATAACCACAGACATCAGTCTTTTCCAGCAGACACTGACAGGCTGAGACCCTCAAAAGTTACTTCAAAACAAATTCAATAATACACTTCACTTGTACTCATAGTAAAACATCACTTGGAGGCTTTAGTCCATTGAAAAGGCTCTAGGTAGTTGTTTAGTTTGCTTGATGCATACATGACAGTTTCCAAAATCATCAGTAAGTTTGAGGAGCATGAAAATAAACATGCCAAATACAGGAGGAATGACCATGGTGGTCCCAGCAGGTAGAAGAAAAATCCCACCTTCCACCTGTCTCTCACTGAGGTGTTAATTTGCAATAATTGTTGATGTAAGAGTGAAAATATGTTAATGTTTGAAGACTGAGACAGACTTCTATCTCATTGTTGCTGTCCAATAAGTGAGCTGTGCCTGGAACTTTTAAATATTATATTACAATATTATCTATATTATACAAAGTATATGGAATTTCTCTTTAAGGATAAATAGAGTTCTTCTACTACTACTACTACTACTACTACTGCTTCTTCTACTACTTCTTCTAATTCTAGCTCTTCGACTTTCTTTTGTACTTCTTCTAGCTCTTCAACTTCTTTTACTTCTTCCTCTACTACTACTATGACTACTACTTCTTCTACTTCTTGTTCTTCTCTTCTTCCTCTTCTTCTTTTCCTACTCCTCCTACTTTACTTCTCCTACTTCTACTACTTCTTCTTCAACTACTTCTTCTACCTCTTCTAGAACTGCTTCTTCTTCTTCTACCTCCCCTACTACTACTACTACTTCTGCTACTATTTCTTCTACCTCTTCTACAACTTCTTTTTTTTTCTTCTTCTTCTTCTACTACTACTACTCTTCTTCTACTACTTCTTTTACTCCTTTTCTCTACTTCTACCTCTTCTTCTACTACCACTTCTTCTACGACTTCTACCTCTTTTTAAAACATCTTTTTCTTCTAATTCTACCTTTTCTACTACTTCTTTTACCACTTCTACTTACCCTTTTCCCTCTTATTCTTCTTCTCCTCACCTGTGCAATTAATATGAGTGTGATTTGCAAGGAGGTATGTTGTTGAATTTTTGTGTTGGTACCTAGAAGATGGCGCTCTGGGAACTAAGGAACCACTTAAATGAACAAAGTGTGCTTGAGGGTTGATGTAGCCAACCTGGCCTGGGAGCTCTGTATTCCTGGAGAGAGAGGTCTGGGTTGACCTGCTGATACCGCTGCCCTCATGACCTGACCTCAGATGAGAGGGGATGACCTGATGGCGTGACCACTCAGCTCGTCTCATATGCTTGTTGTGTAAAACTCCACAGCTGCAAAATCCTGTGACTACCTCCCCTTTTTGTGCACCAATGCAGCACCTGCATGCACTCCAGTCCGCTGCAGCTCCTGATGAAGAGAGACTGCACTGCTGAGGCATGACATTCAGTTCAAACTAATACTGGCCCTTCCTGATGAAGCCAAAGTGGCTCTAAGCCCTGTGAAGAAAAGCCTCTAAATTCCTCCATCGGGGACCAGAGATTGCCACCATTTGTTCCAAAAGTTCCTGCCCCTGCTCAAATTAGTTGGGGAGACTTTTCCCAGAGTGCTTTGCTCTTAGCTTCCACTAAAGGGGGGAGGGGTGGATCAGCTTAGTCTGGCAACAATTAGCCCGAATAAGCTGTTCTGACAATGCACCTGTGTGTTGCACCTGTGTTTTAGGGGTTCATGCAGTAAATCATGGTTAGAGGAGGGAATGTCATCATAATACGTCCATGACAAAGTAGAAAAATAACACATTCACGGTGTATTTCTTAAGCCTATTTACATTTTCTGTTAGACTTGAAATGTACATTTTGTTGCAGGTAATCTGGTGTATTTCATTAACTTTCCTGTGCTGAGCTTCTGCAGTGAAAGTGTGAGCTGCAGCCTGTTCATGAGGTTATTGAAATTTTGCTATTGAATTTTCCGAACTCCTACATAATGCCGGTATTATCCTCCCCCTGCACATTGAGAGTGCACACACATACAGCCATTCAATCAATGTTATTCCTCTGCTCATCTGACAGCTCTGTCTGGGTTTATAAGCATGAGTAAGAGTCTCCCACTGAGCTGCAAGGACTCGCTGACGTTTTGGAAAGCATTCAGGTTATATCTTTGGTAGAAAGGGCAACATTTGCTGGTGCAGAGCACGAGGCACGCTGAAATAAACAGTGTCACTTCAAACAGCGTT